TGTTGGCCGATTAATAAAATAACAGATGGTGCAATTATAGAGATGGTGGTTTTCATTTACATTTCATTGCAATCTCTTATGTCATTGTCATTTGTTTGAGTTGAATCCTTATTTAAGTTTCTTCTGTTGCAGGTTGATGCGTATCTTTTTTCATTTGTTCTCTGATGTGTTCATCATATTCATTTTCATTTGGGTCATGCATCTGGGTATTAACAAACTAATGTAAAGCATGGTTCAGTCTCCTCTAAATGATTGGAAAAGCTTCTCACTGATTTATTCAAGTAAGTTATATTTTGCTTATTGTGCCTTCGTGGTAAATTGCTGGTTCTTTCGTCCTAATGTACATGCTGTAAATTGATATTCATAATACAAATGATTTGTGGGGACAGGTTCTTTCTGTGCCGTGTAACATTATTTATTCATCAAAAGAAAAGTAAAGAATAATAAAAATGAAAAATGAATTACTGTATAGTATATTCTCTTTTCAAATCAAATTTCTAGAATACACTAACAATCTACCATTTTTACAGCATATAATTTAGTTACCATAGAATCAATCTGATCTCTAGGTAATGAAAAGATTCTATACTGCAGAATAGTTTAATTACAAAACTTCTAACTTAGAGATCTTCAAGTCAAGTCCTTGAGATGGTGGGGAGGTATGTTTTCAGTAATGGCATAAAATGCAGAGAGAATGAGTTCCTTAGAAAGTCTTAGCCCTCTTAGATGAGGGCATCAGGTAAACCAGAGAAATAATCTTTTTCGTTTACTCCAGTACATTCATGTCTAAAACTAGACCATGAGAAGCCATCTCGTTAGAAGTCAGTCCTACCCTCTGCAGGTTTACATTTACAATCTAAGGCTCTAGTTGGCCAAGAAACAAGAAGCTCTGGCTGGTGCATCTGGGATCTTATCTTTAGTTATTTTCAGGGCTTGAAGTTAGAATTATTTCCAAAGGGGGATGGGACCCTATCCTACACAAAACCCTAAATTGTGTTGAACCTTTCATTGCATCTATCCCATAGTTTGAAAATCCACAAACTGGGAGTTTACTGTCTTTATGAGACCCTTTCATCGATTGCCATTTCCCTACAGCAAGATGAAATTGAAATCTTAGGGACTGTTTGGTATCGCTTTTATCTTTGGGTGGAAGACATGAGTTTCTTGGTTAGGTTCTATTTTAGCTATTTAGTTTGGTGATATAGTTACTTCTATGGTCTGTACTTACTACTATGAGACAGAAAACAGTGAACTAGTGGTCCAATATTTATGAGTACTGAGATTGATAGAGACATGCATCCAATTGTATTGATGGGCCTCTTTGGATGCCAAAACATCTTGCCTTTTTGTTTTTTTGTGGCATGCAATGGGAACAGGAGCTACATTAATGGCATGAAATCTTTCATTAAATGTGATGCCTCCGTTATCAAAGGGCTGGTCCCTCCATCTCCTGCTACAGCAGCCATTGAGGCAACTTGATACTCTGTTCCTATTTATCTGATGTATAACTCTCTCAATTTACTTCAGCACATAACTTTAAGTAATACTTATATAATATGTGAATGATAATTAATTTTTTTTAATACACAGTTTTAATTGAGTAGTTTTATTTAATAAAATTTTTTTTAATTATCATTTATATGATATATAAAAATTTCACTTAAAATTAAGTGCAAGATTGGGTAAGAGTTGTTATATGAATAGACAAATAGGAATGAGGAAACTAATTTTAATCACTTTCTAATAAAAAATATCAACTTTAGATTTTGAGACGGGATAAAAGGAAATTTGTGAACCACAAGTTTGTACAACTCGGTTAGATGTTTATTTTTCCTGTTTGATCTAGCTGTCCATTGCAGGGTTTCTGTTTTTTCTTTTTTCTTTTTAGCCATTCATAAAGTCTCTGTTTAAGTAGGTATGTTGTAAAAGTGTTGAATCATGATTTATATAAAATAATTATAAAAATTGAGAAAAATTGTTCAGTTTAGATGTCTAATCAGCCAAAGATGTCCTCAGGAAGCATCATCCATAGAGTTTTAGTTTCAAGCTATTCAAAGTTTGAATACGGTTTCTAAGAAATAAAAAGACTTCTAGGAAAGAAAAATGATGTACTAACAATGATTTTCGACAATGAACTATTACAATGTTTGGAAAAACTGCATTTAGTGACACACCAACTTTATGAACAGTAAGATAAAATCTTTTCAGAAACTTGGGCAAACATACGTTAAAGCAATAACCGAAACCCGCAAGGTACTGATGGATTGAAGTTGGAGACATGGAGATGTGTCCTTTATGTATCAATTTATCAGGAGTCTTATTTAAATTAATTCATAAAACACCCACAAATCGTTTTCAAGAGGGGGGGCCAGGAAAGAGGAAATGCAATTCAAGCCAGGGCCCCCAATAATTTCACCCTTCCACGCCGGGACTCGTACATTAGGTCATGTGAGTAAAATTTTGAGAAAAAGTTGTGGACTTTTGAAGCTACTTCTGTTGTGAAAGTGATATGGGCTTAATTGGGGAGTGTCGGTTTATAGTTACAGTTATTGGTTTTTTAATTTTTTAATATATTAAAAATATATAATATATTTAATATTTATTTTGATTATTATTTTATATATTTTTAAAATAATGAAAAGACATAAAAATTAAAAGTTAAAGTATCGATAAATATTGTTAAACAAAGCTTTAGTCATAATATTGCGTGATATTATAAGGTTAAAATCATGATATGTCATTATTTGATTGATTTTTTTATTCAAAAGTTCACCTAATATTTTACATGTATTTACTCATTTAATTGTACATTATAATTATAAATTTATATCCTTAAGTGGTATTGTGACCATATGGTTGCTATTTCATTTGTATGGAAAAGATAATATTAGATCCTACTAAGTGTGTGTTTATTTAGCTGATTTTATGAGTTGATAGTTTTTTTTTACTTAAATAATTAATTATAATGTTCGAAAATATAAACTTATAAGTTGATTCTAAATTGTTAAATAATAAATTTTTTATTAATTATTAACTAACAGAAATAACTGTAGACTGTTCCCTAGCAGCCAAACTAAACAAGACATGATAGTATTAAACTCAAGTGCTTGAGAATAAATTCTATTAAAAGTTTAAAACAACATTAATTTCTACAAAAACACAATTCTTAGAATCTGTTATGTATTGGTGGTGTCAAATTCGAAAGGTATGTCTAGGTTGATATTATGCTTATCCAGAAGTTGTTTCTGAGACTCCAAACGGGAAGGCACAGCCCCCATGGAAAAGTAGGGCATTTTTCACAATTTCAAGCCAGCAAAATCATGCTACCAATTGAATGCAAAATGAAGAAGAAATCAAGAGATGGGGCTGTCCACTCCACAAGATCCCAACATTGTGACACTTGTCACCAACCCAGTTGTCATTTATGTGCATATAATTGTCTAAGGATGAATAAAAGCTAAAGACTAAGTATGTAGGGACAATCTTTTGTGTACTCAATTACCCCCCTTCAATTTAATCCAACAAAATGAGCTCAACCAATCATAAATTAACAGCTTCACATACAACACAAAAAATGTGAATGGAAACTTCAAGAAAAAGATTGTTGAAAAGATTGAAGGCATGATGAACTATGAAGAATAGGAAGGAGTAGGTAAGAAATTTATTTGTTCTTTGAACAACCAAAACTCTAGATATTTTTTTTATGCCGACTTGATCTTTGAGTTGAAGAGAGGTTTTTCTAATTTTCCTCTTCTTTTTTTTTTTTTTTTTATGTGTGAATTAATATAGATGGGGAAGTAAAATTTTTTTTTGAATAATGATTGATATATATTTAGTTTGATATATTTTTTTGATTTTATTAATTCAATCATTAAAAATATAATATAAATTAATCAATTTAATTTATTTTTGTATTTTATGTGTATTATTATATTTTTAAATTTATTTATTTTTAATTTTGCATTATAAAATTATAATGTTTTAATAAATATTTTATATAATATATTGAATTAAAATGTGTATTAATTACTATTTTTTTAACCATTTAAAAAGGACAAAATTTCCCCCCAAAAGAAAAATATCTAGAGGCATAGGTTTCACATCACTTTCCCATTTCCCCATTTCGAAGGCATGTTTGATTTCGTTGTTATTAATATACTTCTTAGCCAAAAACCCAAGAAAGGTATGTTATTATGAATATATCGTTGATAATTGATAGGTAATAATTAATTTTTTTTTAATAATAAGTTTAGGAAGAGAGGAGTTATTAGCCTAAGTACTTGAGATCAATTATCTATAAGGGATTACTAATAATAAGACTTGAACCTAGAAGATTGACAGTTGTACAAAAATTATTAGTAATTATTATTATTTTTTAAAATTCAAAGATTAATTATTTAGAATCACAAAATTTTAAAATTTTAATTTTAATTTTAAATTAAAAATTTTTAATTAGTGAGTAATAATTTGAATAAATTCTTATTGGCAAGTCACTAATAATTATTAGCAATACATGTCCTCTCAGACACTGTTTTTCAAAGGTAGACTGGACGGACCAATTTGACTGTTTAACTAAAATCGGACCAGTCAAATCTGGAAAAACAGGAAAAAAATTGAAACAAATTGGGATGGACCAATTATCTGTAATTTTATTTTATTTTTTTTGGCCGACACTGTAATTTAATATATTGATTTAAAAATTTTCATAATATTAATATTTTTAATTTATAACGCATTATTGCTGATTACACCTATGATTGAACAATTTGAACCAATTAATCCAAAATCAGATCATTCACCGGTTCAAAATTTTTTGTCCTTGAAATTATATGGTAAAATACCTAAATCAACCTCCAAAGTACAACAAGGACATACTCACTTTCGAACAAAAAACGATGACAAATCCACTAATAAAGTTTTTTACATAGATAAATCACTTTAAATTTAACATGTGAAGTCATCTGATATTAGCAATCCGTTAATTTGTTATGTTGCTAATAACAAATTGTTGATATCAAATTAACAAATAGTAAACATCAAATGATGTCGAATTATCGGATTGTTAACATTAGAAGATGTCACACGTTAAATTTGATATAATTTATCCAAATCGAAAACTTTATGGATGGATTTGTCCATGTTTTTTATTTGAAGATGGATCTGTTCCTGCCACTATATTTTAGGGGTGGATTTGAGTATTTTGTCAAATTATACTAGGATTTGAAAAGTTTCGGAGTATGAACTTATTAATACCATTTTCAAATCTTAA